CGTACCCCAAAAAAAAAAAAAAGCAGCAGCTCTGTCCTTAAGGTGCCCACAGGGCAGGGAGACAGAGGTAGCCTGACAGACCAGCATGCTGTGTGATGAGTGAGGGTCACAGGGTTGGGTCACGTGGCTCCGGAGGGGCTGGAGAGGTCAAGGAAGGACTCTAGCAGGAAGTGTCATTTTAGAAAGGCCTGAAGGAGGGGTAGGATGTGATTAGGGGTAGAGGAGAAAGAAGGGCATTCCAGCAGGGGGACACAGGCCCGAACAGGACTGGAGAGTGGCGGGTTCTGGAAGCCGTGGGAGCCCAGGGGAGTGTCCTCCCTGAGGCTGGGGCCTGGGTGATCCTCGGGTGCCCCCTGACTACTCTCTCTGCTTCTGCCTCCCCAGGGGCCAGTGATTGCAGCCGGAAGTGCCCATGACCGAACTGGCGTCCTCCGGGGACAGGTCCCCTGCGGGGGACGGGGAGGAGGGCCTGGGGGACGATCGAGGCCTGGTCATCCACCACCCTGCGGACGAGCAGCCGCACCGCTGCCCACTGTGCGGCCAGACCTTCTCGCAGCAGCCCAGCCTGGTGCGGCACCAGAAGGCGCATGCCGGAGTGGGCCGCGCGGCCGCCTTCGTGTGCCCCGAGTGCGGCAAGGCCTTCAGCGTCAAGCACAACCTCGAGGTGCATCAGCGCACCCACACGGGCGAGCGGCCCTTCCCCTGCCCCGAGTGCGGGCGCTGCTTCAGCCTCAAGCAGAACCTGCTCACGCACCAGCGTATCCACAGCGGCGAGAAGCCGCACCAGTGCGCGCAGTGCGGCCGCTGCTTCCGCGAGCCGCGCTTCCTGCTCAACCACCAGCGCACCCACGCGCGCATGCCTGCGCCGCACCCGCGCCGCCCCGGCGTCTTCGGGGAGCGGAGGCCCTACTTCTGCGCCCGCTGTGGCAAGAGCTTTGCGCGCGAAGGCTCGCTCAAGACCCACCAGCGCAGCCACGGCCACGGGCCCGAGGGCCAGGCGGCCCATTTAGGCCGCGTGCTCTGATGCGCGCTGGACCTGCTGCCTCCGGCTGTTTTCTGCCCCAGAGCCGCATCCGTGACCTCTGGCGATGGCGCTGGGCTTCGGCCCCCTCTCTGGCTGGGATCCCAGGAGACTGGGAGGGCTGGCTTGGGGTCTCAAAGGAGTGGGCCGCCTCCTTCCGCTCCTTCCCCAGGACCCTCTGGCTGGCTGCACACGGCTGCTTTGGGCCCCTGCGTTGGTTTTCCTCCGCAGGCCCACCCGGCTTAGAGCAGGTGAGACCCGGCGCTGGCCAGAGCCCGTCTCAGACTTGTTCGGGGTCAGGTGGGGACAGGTGAGGGAGGTGGGGCGTAGTGAGCTCCTAGGTCTACGACTAGCTTCTAACTAGATCTTCATTTCCTGAATGTCAGAGTTGAAAGCGACCTGGAGAGGGTACTCGCCACAATCCTCAAGCCCACCCCCAGCCCCTAGGGTCTCCTGGCACCAGCACTTACTATTTGGTACCCTTGAGAAGTCATTTCACTTCATGACCCAGTTTGCTTATCTGTGAGTTGGGGCTAACGATGAGAGGTCCTCCTCCCTGGTATATTGTGACGATTGTAATTGCTGTTAGCAGACAAGAGAGGGTGATGTCATTAATTGAGCGCCCCAGTGTGCCAAGCAGTGTGCTGTGCAGGGCTCTTGGGAAGAGCACAGCCACAGGCCCTGTCCCCTGGGGTGCTCTCTCATACAGGGTGATGCCAACTATCGGCTCTCGTGAGGACAGACTGAAAAGTGCTCTGGGAGGCGAGGTGAATGGTGTCGCCCAAGGCAGTTTGATGGCTTGAACTGGGTCCTGGGGACGAATAGGGAGAGCAAGGGTGTGGAAGGTTTCCAAGGCAGGGGTCCTACCTTGGAGGCTCACATTTGCTCTACAAAGGACTTTGTGGCAGGGAGAGGGGACACTGAGATGTTTAACGGGAAGAGTCCAGTGATTTCAAGTGCAGCTCAGGGACAGCTGGAAGCACTGAGGAGAGATGGAATTGGGATGGGCAGGAGCCTCGAGGTCCTGGGGTCATCTGGGCAAAAGAAAGGGAGGCTCCCCAGGAGGCTTGGCCGAGGTCATGCAGTGAAAAAGGGGAGAGCCAGGACCTGTCCCCCGGGCCTCAGATTCCAAGTTGATGCTCGGAGGCCTGGGCTTCTCAGCCATTTGGCAGACAAGGACACTGAGACTCACCCAAGCTGGCCCTAAATCACACGTAGGAGCTAGCGGTGCAGCAGTGGAAGCCTGGACCTCATTTTGGGTTCTGGACCCCAAGACCCTTCATTTCTACTGTATCATTGTTAGGAGAGGCTCTTACAGGTGGGAAAATGGGACTTTGGGGATGTGGGAATGTGAGCCTAGGCAGGGGCATCGCTAGGGGCTGTGGATGTCTGAAGGGGACATGGCATCCTGGGTAGTGGGTTGGGAGGAAGGAAGCTGGGGGCTGGCAGAGGACCTGCTCTCACAGAGCCCTTGTTCCACGCCCAGTCCCGTGCTCAGCGCTGGAGACCCATCCCTGCGCTCTGCCCTTCCTTAGAGCCACGGGGCTTCTCAGCGATCAGTTGTCCTCTGCCTGCCGCCCCTAGGTGGCTGTTGCACTGTGGACTAGTACTTAGTGGTGGAGATTAAGAGATTAAATCGGGACCCAGGACATCTGGAACCAGTCACCAAGTGCCCTGAACCCACGTTGTCTCATTGGTAAATGGGATTAGTAATCCTTGGGTGCTTGGTAGGGGCTAAGAGGACTCAAAGCCCTGGATGGGTGCAGGGGGCCCATGACTGCTCCCTTGTAGCCCTGGAGAGATGGCTGACGGGGGCTGGGCAGGGCCGCGTCCCACCCCAGACCTGACCCTGGTCTCTTTGTCTTTGTGGGCAGATGAGGACTTTACAGGACCTCTGGGCTGTGTGCAAGGCACATCTGACACAGTGACTAGGAATGGGGCCCTGGGCCTGTGCCCCAGCATGAGGACACGTCCCCTAAGAAGACCTACCTCGGGAGCTGACAGCAGAGGGACACATGGAGCCTGGAATTGGAGGCAGGTTCTGCACCCTGGTGGAAACTCCCCGGACCTGCTGGGAGTCACAGCCGAAGCAGAGCTCGTGCTGGCTGCCTGGCTGTAAACCCCCACTCTCCCGCGGCAGCAGGGACGGTGCCTGTGTGGGGGGCTTCTCTGCTCCCGCCTGGCCCACCAGACACGGGAGGTGAATCGCCTAGGAGAACACAGCAAGTTGGTAGCAGACTCAGCTCCAGAGGCAAGACCTTCCCCCAGGTGTGCACATACCTGCAGGCTTCACTCTCCTTTCAGAGCAACGTTCTTAACACTTTTGGGGTCGTGAAGCCCTCTGACAAGATGGCAAAGGTTATGAACCTTCTCCCCAGGAAGACACAGATGGTCACGTAGATGCAAGAATCTACGAGCAATCCCAGGAGCTCCTGGACTCCAGGCCGAGATCCTTGGTCCCGGGACTAACCCGCCACTCCTTCCTTACCTGACACAGAGCCCCGGGTCAGGGCCTCCATTTCGAGTAGCATTTCATCCCCTGCCCTCCCCAACCCCTGCCCTCCCTTCCCTTGTTCAGGAATAAAGAATTCTGAGGCGGGGCCTCTTTTAGTCACTTTTTTCTCCCAGACCTAACAAACAGCGCATCAGGTTTCTGGAGCCTCCCTTCCCTTCCCTAGATGTTGCTGGAAGCTCGCGGGGCGCCTCCCCAGACTGGACCACCCATCAGAAAAGGTGGGACCGACTAGGGCGGGGCTGGGTTTTGATGACAACCAGACTTCATGAGGTAGCTTATAGTTAGTGAAACCCTTGGAGGTGGGGAGAGGCCTTTAGTCCTGAAATGTAGGTCAAATCCCAGGGACGTGAGTGCTGCGGGGCGTGGGGGAGTTGTGTTGAGGTGAGAGGTCCCAGGGCTGAGCTGAGGTTTGGTCAGGGCTGCCAGGAGGCCCCCATGGGTTCCTGTCTCCAGTGCAGTTCGCATGTAGGTTCTCAGCATCTGCCATATGCCAGGCTCTGGGATAACAGGCTGCTCTGGGGGAGGTCAGAGAAATGAGGCCCTGTGCTTCTGGGACTTCCTTCTCTCTGATCCTTGGCCCAACCCAGGGGACCCTCACAGATGCCCCTTCTCCTCTCGTCTCCCTCCTCGGTCCTGCCTCTGTTTCTCCCGCTGTTGCCCTGGCCTGTGCCCCCCACCCCCGCCGGCTAAGCCCTCTCATCCACCAGGTTGCCTCTTCCCGACCACCAAGCCCACGTTCCGCCCTCCTCCGAACAGTCCCCGTGTTAACACGCTACCACATGCCTGAAATTCGTGTGTACCACGTGTGGAGTCTTATGCAGTAAGTCCCCTACACATGAACCTTCAAACTGCGAACTTTCAAAGATGTGAGTGTGCGTTCCATCAGCGTCAGGCGTGAGTGAAATTGCAGCTTGCCCTCCAATTGTGTTAGTTGGGTACCTAAGCTAACTTTGCTGGACTTATGAACAAATTGGACTTACGAACATGCTCTTGGAACAGAACCTGTTCGTATGTAGGGGACTTACGGTACTCCCGTTTCCCGTGTGTGTGTGTGTGTGTGTGTGTGTGTGTGTGTGTGTGTGCGCGCGTGTGCGCGTGTGCATGTGAAACCTCCACTGAGACTGGGAGCTCCGTGAAGGCAAGGGCTTGAACCCCAGCAGGGTCTAGCACAGGGCTGGGCTCACAACACTCAGGAAGTAATTACCGACTGGCTGGTGGGTCCAGTGCTGGAGGCTGTGGGGTGGGAGGTGATGGGAGGTGTGACGGGGAGTGGGACGTTGAGTCCGCTAGTGGGTGTATCTTATTGGCTGTGGGCTGGCTTTCCTGGGCAATAACAGCCGCAGGAGGCCTTGGGTTCTCCCCTCCTTGGGGCAGTGGGACAGGAGAGACCCCACCCCCGTCGACTCCGCAGGAGTGTGTGTCAATGGATGTCCAGGCTGGACGTCTCCATAGGTTGCTGACGCTTGCTGGAGCTGACCAAGGGGAATCAATGTTCTCTCAACATCAGCTCATGTGAGGAGTGGTCATTTGGGGCTCAGCTGGGAGCAGGGAGGTGGCCTCCAGCTCCGCCTCCATCATTTCTTGAGGAGTTACGTTCAAGGTCACATAGCTCCAAAGCCACAGCAGTGAGTCAGCTTGGGCTTCCCCATATGGATAATGCCCACTACTTGGATGTGGGTAATGGATACCGGGGCCCCTTGGGGTAGTCCCCCGGCAGCTTGCTCAATGCACAGCGAGGCAGACCTGCTGAGAACCTTCGAGGTGCTTCCCTCAGCACCTGAGTGCTGGGCCGCTCCAAGGCTGGCCCATCCCCACCCAGAGGCCCTGGCTGGTCGCGTCTCTCTCCTGGCTCTGGTCTCCTTATCTGTTCCTCCTGCCTCGTGGGTTGTGAGAATCGGATGAATGCGTATATACACTGTGCGCGCTGCAAAGCCCCACGTAGGGGCAGGGGTGCCGTCATTGTTCTGCCACTGTCTCCTGCCGCGGGTGGGCCTGGCCGCTGGCACTTCACAGCCCAGGAGTCTTCTGCAGCAGGAGAGGCTCTGGAGAGTGGAGTTCCGCCAGGCCTGCCACTGCGCTGCCGAGACTCGGATGAGCGATCTTCCTCCTGTCCCTGGTGAGGGGCTGGGCCTGCTCATGGCCAAGGCTCACTCCAGAACCTTCCTTCTGTGCCTTACTCTTTGATTCAGATTTGGGGCTGCATCAATTGTCTCTATCAGCCAAAGAGGGTCCTGAGTGGTAGTAACTCAACGATGGGGTCTTTGAGACCTGGGGCTGATGGAGGTGAATCAGGCAGTATCCTCGTTCAACTCAAATCCACAGACACCATAAAGGGGAACCGCAGGCTCCGTAACAGAAGGGCAGGGACTTACTTGACTGTGACGCCGGCTCTGCTCTCCTTCATGTCAGCTGCCTCCCCGCCTCGCAGGGCAGGAAGGCGCGGCCAGTAGCTGGGCCCTCCGCCAGCTCAGGCTCAGCTCCTTCCCTGATGGTCTGAACCCCTTGCAGGGCTGACTCTCGTCGGCTGGAATCGGTCGGTGCTTGCTGCCAGGGCAGTGGCTGCACCAGGCCTGGGGAATGCCACGCGCTGGATGGCCAGGCCTGGGCACACACCGCCTGTAGAGGGTCAGCTCCGCCTGGAGCCCGTGGTCTGCGCGTGGGGAAGGGACGGTTCACGAGGGAAGCCCAGAGGCGAGAAGGCAGGCGAGTGGACTCCAGGTGGCTGCCCAGCAACCT